AGTTTACTGTTATTTTAAGGAAAATAAAATAAACTTATTGAACACAAGTTTATAACATATTTTTAATAGGCGTTACAAAATATATATAATAATACCGAGTTGTGTAGCATTGCTTGTTAATATAGAAAACTTGTGGTCACTACAGAGGCTACGACAAAAATTTTTGTGATAAAACCCCAACTAGTAGCTTGTGATATCTAGAATTCAGCTGTGAAACATTTCACCACTGATGGTCCTCTGATCAAGCGATTGCTAGTATTCAATCTTCTTATCTCCCCTTAAGTTCGAAAACGTTTAATATTTTTTCGACTTATAAAAATTGATTAGAATTTTTAAAAATATATCTTGCATTGTCATCGAATAAAAAAAGGTTAGAACCAAAACTGCTGAATTAGAAGTGGGTTAAAAGTTATATAAATATTTGCCAATAAACACATGTTGCGAACTAAATAAAGCTTGTAAAAACAAAATGAATTTCCTTATAAATTAAATATTTCATATGCCTACTGTAGATTTTAAATAATGAAATACATTTTACTAATTAGGGGAAGAAGATGTTTGATGATTTTGTTATATTGATTTAAATAGTGATTGTGTTTTGTATGCAATAATTTTGTATAACGTTGTGCTTGATTTACATTCTTATTTTAATTATAAATGTTTATCCAGAAGACATAGAAACAAAAAGAGTAAACAATTTAATGACTACATCTACCATGCCGACCATCACAACTAAGACAACACAAAGAGCCCAGCCTTCAACTACCAGCCTAGTTCGAGTTAAAACACACCCATTATTGCAGATATCACCAGAAACTGTTGTGTCAAACAAACAAACTTCAACATCCTTTAGTGTGGCTATCAGAACTACAGAAACATCACCTATTGTAGCAGTCAAACAAACGTCAACATCATATTATGATACTATCACAACTACAGAAAAATCACCTAGAATAGCAGACAAACAAACGTCAACATCCTTTAATGCGGCCGTTTACAAGTACAGAAACTCTCACGAATCGAAAAACTCCAGTGCCAGCTGCCCTAGATACGATGATACCATCTGCCCAGATAACTGGGAACCGTTAGACGACAGCTCTTGTTACACGATAGAAAACGTGAAATCATCGACGGAATTCTTTAATGTGAAGAACAGATGTATTCTCAGTGGTGGCAGTTTGATAAACTTAGAGGCACTAGAAACACTGAAGAAGATTGTAATTTGTAAGTTGTTTTCTAATAATGATTCAAATAATCTGTTTTACGCACACAGGCACACACAAAACCATCCCGACTCTTATACACACATACTAAGGTTCACACAAGCACACGCACACAACATACACACTTATTTACATATATATATATATATATATATATATATATATATAATGTATATTATATATATATAATATATATATATATATATATATATATATATATATATATATATCCGAATATGTATGTGGGTGTGGGTGGATGTGGGTGTATATTTACATAAACCCAGCGTGTTCCACAGTGGCGGAACTAGAAAAAAATGGGCCACCCCGCAAAACATTTTTTGGGCCCCCATATATGTATATATATATATATATATATATATATATATATATATATATATATATATATATATATATATATATATATACATATCAGTGTTTCTTCCAGACTTTTTTCTCCGGGTAGGGGGGGGGACTTGAAATTTTCGGGGGGGGGGTCGGTAAAAATTTCTTCGTGGGGGGGGGGGCACTGTTAAAAGTATATATTTTCTATATAAAGTATATACATTTCATTTCGTTCGGGGGAGGGGGCCGGTAAAAAAAGAGATGCTTGGAAGAAACTGATACATATATACAAACACACAATACGAACATAGGATACTCATTTCTGGGCCTGATCGGGTTTTGAAAAAAAAAATTCAATTAAATCTTATCACAACATGTCATTGTCATGTGTGTGAGTGCATTGGTCTGTTTTGAAAATATCTGTTTTCATTTATGGTTGCCTTAATACTTGTAACCATTAAGTCGGTCAAAAGTATATATGTTGTGAAGCTTTGTATAAGTAATGTATAATGCTAATGTATAAGTAATGGTTTCTAGTGTTATGTTTATTTTTATGATTTTTTGTATTTATATTATTAATTTTAACTACGTATTCATTTTTATACTATACCATTCTTGAGTACTTATTTTAAAAAAAATAATAAGATAAGTAATTGCTGCTTAATTCGATTATTAATTTTTTTTACGCAACAGCATGTCTTAGCTACTATATAACATCACTACAGTATTAGATCTGTTATCTGTTTGTTATTTACAAAACCACTATCAAGGTGCCATTGACGAAATATATTATATATATCTATATATATATATATATATATATATATATATAAACATATATATATATAACATATATATATATATATATATATATAACATATATATATATATATATATATATATATATATATATATATATATATATATATATATATATATATATATATAACACGCTATCATTCATGTAGTTATTTGAGACGTTTGCCTTGTTTTCTAGAACAGTGGTTATTAAACGTAAACAATGTCGGCACTTTATTTCTTGGATAATTAGTTGTTGGAGCGCTAGTTTGTCAACACTACCACCGATACGAGCCAGCTTTGTTGTTGGAGCGCTAGTTTGTATACACTACCACCGATACGAGCCAGCTTAGTTGTTGAGGCGCTATCTATTCGCTTCTTGTAAGGCTAAGAGCTGGCAGGGGCGGTCTGAGAAAAGAACTTAAAAGGGACAATAAAGCACCGATGTGATTTTATCCATCAGTACCAAATTTGAGATGGTCTCAAAAAGTCGTCTTATATCTAGCGGTCTCTCGCGCAATTGATGTTTTTTTCAAAAGAATTTTGCCGACAACAGCGTGTGGTTTGATTGTAGGAAAAAGAATATACAAGAGCGTGGGATGGTGTCTATAGAATAAAGATACTCCAACCGTAGCTACAGTTTTTTTTTTTCAAAACAACCATCAGGTCAAAAATGCAAGCAAATTAATTTTAACTATAAAAAAATGATTATGGGCGGCTGTGGGCCCCCTAAACGGCGTGGCCCCCCCCCCCCCCCCCGCATTGCGGGTCTGGCGGCACTGTAGTTCCGCCCCTGGTGTTCCATTTTGCTCTGTCACGTTTATTGAAAGTGTAAATCGTGTGCATCGTTGTGCGTGGTAATTTATACTGTACTAGACATGATAGCACCAGTAGCGTACGCAGGGGGGGAGCAGGGGGAGCGGCCGCTCCCCCTCTGGCCATTTTCAGCAAAGTGGCGGCCTTTTTGGAAACTTTTTAAAATCAAATTTTTAAACAATGATATTTGTTAAAAAATATTTTGGTCGGCACATCTATGTAAATCACAAGATTTCTTTTCATGCAGCAATTTAGCATTATTGTACTAGTCTAGTAGTGTCTACGTTTACAAAACGTATTAACAGCTGCATCAGTATGCCATTCTAAAAATAACATTACGATGCATTGCAATGTTTAAAAAACCTCTACGGGTAGTACCACTGGGCAAGAGGGGTTTTAAGTTAAGGCAACTGTATAATGTATTTGCTTACGAATAATTGAATCAGAAAATGTTATACATAAAACTTCACACATATTACTTTATATAAACAGTTTGAATCGTGTGATTAATTTTTTTTAAAATTACAATACAGAAACAAATATAACTGATGTGGCACCTCTATTTAAATTTACTGATGAGCGAACTGCGTAGTGGTGGGGACATTTTGACAAGGTCAACAAAGTCATCACGATGAAGTAGTAGTATTCTTACAGTTTGGGCGATAGTGATTACGATTACAAATTATATGAAACAGTTACAAGCAGTAGCGTAGCGAGGGGGGGGGGGGGGGGGCGGGGGGACATATGTCCCCGGGCGCGACCTTAGGGGGGGCGCCAATTGAAAGTTTGAGGGGGGGGGGTGCAAATGAAAAGTTCGAGGGGGTGCAAATCGAAAATTTGAGGGGGGGGGGGGGTGTGCAAATGAAAAGTTCGAGGGGGGGGGTGCAAATCGAAAGTTTGAGGGGGGGGATGCAAATGAAAAGTTCGAGGGGGGGTGCAAATCGAAAATTTGAGGGGGGGGGGGTGCAAATGAAAAGTTCGAGGGGGGGGGGGTGCAAATCCAAAGTTTGAGGGGGGGGTGCAAATAAAAAGTTTGAGTGGGGGGGTGCAAATCGAAAAATTTGCTCCCGAGGGGGCGCCAAATTGTAAGTATGTCCCCGGGCGCCGGGAAGGGTCGCTACGCCTCTGGTTACAAGCCCCCCTCCCCATGGACCCGTCTGTAAAAAACAATTTTGTCATAATACCACTGCTACGTATTTAAATCTATTTCTGTAATATATATTTGTGTAATATATACGTGTGTAATATATATGTATATTTAGAACAGTCATCTAAAAACTGACTCTATGTTCACTCTGAGTTGGTTATCTCCCCCCCCCCACACACCACACACCTCACAAACAATTGTGTAGAGCGATATTAATGTCACACCTAGGTATACACTGGGTTGGATAATTGACCTAAAATGACCGGACAGTGGTGAATGAAGTTGAACCCACACCCCCCCCCCCAACCCACCCCGAACTGATCTGTTAAGTACATGTAGAAAAAACGCGTAGTGATGTACCAAAGTACCATGCCGCCAAAAAAATTAGCTTTTTAAAGGTAAAACTCTGTGAATATTTTGCAATTACCAGTAAAAAGGTGTGTGATCAATACAGTGATCTAACAGATAGCTATCACTATGTTAAAAAATGATCTTTAAAGAGCACAAAGAAGCAGTAGTTATTTAAAAATATATGATCTGAACTAAAAGACAGATATTTAGTTAAATGTAGGCTTTTATTCCGACTCTCATCTATTAAATCGAAAAGAGTGGTTTTATACCAACTCTGATTTTAAAAACTTTCATTATGCTGTAATACTTTAGCATTTATGAAGACGATATATTAAATTATGATTATAGACAAAAACATTTTGTAAACACGAATAGTGTTAAACAATTTGATTATATTATAAAGTAATTATTTATTTGTTTTGACATTTATAATTAAATGTGTAGATATATACATATTTATATTAAGAGAGTGATTATTTCCCCTATTTCACTTGTCTTAAATAATTTCCCAGGAATTATTATGTAAGAAATTTGTTTACAAGAATTACAAAACAGATTGTGTTACGTTCATTGTTTTTGGTTGTAGTGTGTGTAGATTTTTTTTTGTTTTTGTTTAGATTGATACATTTTTTGTTTTGTCGGACTACATTGTGTGTTTTTTCTTATTTCTTCAGAGTGCTATTTTCAATTTATTTTACATAATAGCGAAGTAATGACATACAGCTAGTAATTATATATATATATATATATATATATATATATATATATATATATATATATATATATATATATATATATATATATATATATATATATATAATACACGTACATAGAACGCGTTTAAATTCGGCGCCTTTTTTTGCTCTTTTCGCTCCCCCTACAACGAAAACCTGGATACGCCTCTGGATAGCCCTGTTCGAAGTAAATTGTTTCTCCACGTATCAAACAAGGGCTAGGGCTCTGAGTGTAGTCAAACTGACGGCAGTGGGATAACCAAGGCGGACTTTAAGTGGGTCGAAACATGATGGGGAATGGCAATTTATATTTATTTTTTGTATGAAGTTTAGTAAAAAGACTAAGTAGAGCAGGCATTTGGCAAAGTAAAATTATTAATGCAAATTAAAATCAGCAATGACACGTTTCCTCAGGTAAGCAAAACAAAAAAGAGCGGACACACGTTTTAATTCTCGACGACAATCAACTTTGTGAAGTTGTAAATTTGGACACATTTCAACAGCATAAGGTCACGTGCTACAAAAACAGTATTGCGTTCGTTGCGATTTGTGCTATGAATATTACAAGTAAGATGTTTAAAATTCTGTATACACAAAGAAATAATTAAATGAGCATATATATATATATATATATATATATATATATATATATATATATATATATATATATATATATATATATATATATATATATATATATATATATATATATATATATATATACATTTGTTTATATATATATATATATATATATATATATATATATATATATATATATATATATATATATATATATATATTTATTTATTTATGTTTATATATATATATATATTAATAATATATTAAACTAAATAATATAACAGACTGTTACACCATACACATTTAACGTTTCGAATTTACAGAAAACAGAATAGCATCGATAGGGCAGTCTAAAGACAAAATAAGCACATCTGAAAATGTTTCCATCAAAGTTGGATTAGGTGTGGGGATACCTGTTCTTGTCATCATTGTTTTGGCGGTGTTGATCTATATCAACAGAGGTTAGATAATTTAAAGTTAATTTTTATGGATTGAAATATTCAATTATTAAAAGTATGGCGAATTAGCAGAATTAAGGTGTTTGAAGAGTGAGTTTTAAAATTTATTGTAAAACATCCAAAAATATTTTTTTCAGAAACTTTAATTCATCTACCCAGACCCAGGTAAGACAACAAATTTACATGGTGCGCGTGTTTCTAAACTGTACAACTCAACTGTGTGCTCACTTGTTTCATGAATAACTTTATCTGTATAGAACTATTATATGTGTAAAACGAATGAGGAATTTTTTATTTAATTTCTTCAAGAAACAGAGAACTGAACCCCGAGAGATCAAGACATTACATTAACGGTAACTACATCCTTGTTATCTCATCATTCGTGATGTTCAATCCTACATATTGGTAGGCCCTATCTAATGTAATCATGTATATAGTTAAAAATGTTAATATACTTTATTGTAAATAATTAATAATCCTGTAGCATTTAGAATTTAAGTAGCTTTTATTATAACCAATTAATAGTACAGTAGTAATTATAATTTAAATAAACGTTATTTAAACCAATTTATAGTCCAGCAGTAATTAGAATTTAAATAGACTTTATTTTAACCAATTTATAGTCCAGCAATAATTAGAATTTAAATAGACTTTATTTTAACCAATTTATAGTCCAGCAGTAATTAGAATTTAAGTAGACTTTATTTTAACCAATTTATAGTCCAGCAGTAATTAGAATTTAAATAGACTTTATTTGAACCAATTTATAGTCCAGCAGTAATTAGAATTTAAATAGACTTTATTTGAACCTATTTATAGTCCAGTTGTAATTAGAATTTAAATAGACTTTATTTGAAACCATTTATAGTCCAGTTGTAATTAGAATTTAAATAGACTTTATTTGAACCATTATATAGTCCAGCAGTAATTAGAATTTAAATAGACTTTATTTGAACCTATTTATAGTCCAGCAGTAATTATAAATTAAATAGACTTTATTTGAACCCATTTATAGTCCAGTTGTGTGCAGTCCCACCCATTCACCAGATAACCAGAAACGAGGTTTGGGGTCAATATGACGAAGTTGAAGGAGAATATGAAAACCTAAAGGTGAGAAAATTTTAGCGGGATAAACAGATTAAATCAATTCCCTGTAACATTGTAGGATCAATTTTATTTAAAAGCTGGTTTAAAGTGAAATTACTTTAAGAATGGACGAAAAAAAAATCTAACCAATATGCTTTGTAACTCAAATAATTTTCAGTCTACATGGAACCAAGAGGTTTAACTTTTCCATCAAAAACTGTTTTATTGTTTTACTTTGCAGCCTTTATGTACATTATGTACTAGGCATGCTGCCCAGCTTCGCTTAGGCTTTCGAAAACATTGAGAATTTGAATGCTTAATTAATTTGCCCATGGGTCGGTCTACGACCTCAGGAGTTATGAAGAGGTTCCTTCGTGGACATTTTTGTTCGATTTATAGCTCATAGAAGGCGCCGGTCAGTCGAAGTCAGTTTTGACCCCCCTCATCGTAGACTTTTCGGCCAACCGGCCCCCGTGTTCTGTCGCCCCATTTTAAGGCAAGATCCTGCCAAATATGAAGCGCCCGCGGAGGCGGGCGCCGCCGGGAAGTGCCCTATCGGGCACCCGACAACTTTGCTTTATATATTAGAATCCTAATATAAATTGTTTTTTTAAGTTTAGCTCGAGCAAAATTGTATTGTATAAATTTTATAGCGTACGTAGATCTAAATAATATTTGAATGAAATAGTTCATTTCTTTTTATTCTAAACACGGCAGATGACGTCATTAGTTAATGTATAAACATTATTGACGTCACTGTTTTATGCATTCTTTTTCACAACTATAAACGCTTTTCCTGTTGCATAATTAAAACTGTTTTTCTACATTCGAATACGCCTTTATTTTTTTTATTTTTTTCAAGTGCGCACTTGGGCTTCTATATATTAGGATTCATGGCTGTAGACAGGCACACTTAGCCGTATAACCTACACAACAAGTGATAGCTTTAAACAAATAGTAACCACCGTTTTAAAAATAATAATTAAACAATAATAAATAATAAAAAGGATGTTTTATGTTTTCACTGTGAAGCTTACATTTAAAAGCTTAAGAATTTGTAAATCAGCTCTGCTGTAATAACGCTAACATTAAGACTAAAGGTCATTAAAAATCATATATGCTGTTCTACCGCTCACCTTAAAGACTAACGATCATTTATAAACAAGTCCTGATGTTTCTATTGCTCACCTTACAGACTAACGGTCATGCTTTACATCACATTAGGTATTTGCTCTCTGATACCTAATACCCCTCATACTCTTCACGTACTCAATCCTTGTCTAATCAATTCCAGACACCTGGCAGGTATCTCTCTGACCAAGGCCTCGTCTATCTCACCTTGGCCCAGGTGAGACCAACCAGCCTACCTAATCACGTGACTCCCGTAACAAGATACGAGCCTGTGGAGTATGCGGCCTTAGACTTTAACCTAACTGGCGCGATGGCTAGTGAAGCTGGCGACACTAGAGTCTATGAGAATGGAGGACCCGCCGATCAAGATCAGAGGCGGAACTAGAAAAAAAGGGCCACCCCGCAAAAAAAATATTCTGGGCCCCCATATATATGTATATATATATATATATATATATATATATATATATATATATATATATATATATATATATATATATATATATATATATATATATATATAAATATATCTACATAATACAAACATTTCTAGCCTGATCGGGTTTTGACATTTATTTTTTTCAATTTAAAAAATTACAAATTGTCATGTGTGTGAGTGCATTAGTCTGAATTGAATCTTTTTTTTAAGATTTAGAATTAGTCTATTTTTTTTTTTTTTAACCTTTCGTTTTTTCCATTTTTGATGTTCGAAATCAGAGTTTCTTCCAGGCATCTCCTACCGCCCCCCCCCCCGAACGAAATGAAATTTATATAATTTATATAGAAAATATATAATTTTAACTGTGTCCGCCCCCCCCCCCCCCCCGAAGAAAATCTACTCCCCCCCCCCCCCCCCCCCGAAAATTTCAAGTGCCCCCCCCCCCCCGGAGAAAAAAGTCTGGAAGAAACACTGTTCGAAATTATGAACAGAATTTGATGTTGATGTAAGGTAAAGTTTCGCTTTTAAATCTGACGGTCTATGGGTCAAGTGAAGTAGAGTTCACCTGTTTCTGTGACGTTTCAACACTACGGTCGGCCGCCTTTGCTTTCCCTAACGTGAGTTGGGTACACATCGGAGTTGGGTGGACGGTATGCGGCTCGAGACTTTCGGGTTAGCAGTCCGGCTTTCTAACGCTAGACCACTCCGTCCCCTTTAGAATTTTTTTTTTTCTTTTTTTTTTCATGGTTTGGTAATTATTTATTTTTTTTTAAAGTCATGCATCTAATATATAAAAATCAATACTGGGGATTAGTCTATTCAAAATGTTTGCTGTAATACTACCCACCAAGTTTTAGCCGGTCAAAAGAATATAAAACGTGAAAGCTTTGTATGAGTAATGGTTTTTCGTGTTATGTTTATTTTTATGTTTTTTTGTATTTATATTATTTGTTTCAAATATATTTCCTTTTTATGCTATGTTATTCTTTAGTATGCATTTCTTAATCAATAATAATGAAGAGAAGTTATTGCTTTTTAATTTGTTTTGTACACATATATTAAAAGGAGCTTAGGAACGCCCGTATTTAAATATTTTAACAAGGGAAATAAGTCATGGAAGTGTTTTGAACGTTTGCCTATCTGTCACACTACAGCTCAGGCATATATTTTTAGCGCAATTTCCATTCTGGAGAATTGCGTTTATTAACTGGTCATTTCTGGGAATGTATGGATGGATGTGTGTCCGCAGCTTTAAGTCGTATCTCCTCCTCAACGAAGCAATATCGAGGACTAGTTCCAAAAGCAACTTGAAACATGTACCAATCGATTCCTGCCATAATTTAGAACAATATTGGCGAAGAAAGTTTTCAAAAATATCCTTTCGTTCGGTCACAATTTTTTTTTTTGATTTAATTAAAATTTGGACCGAATTAGTAGGCATTTTTATCCAACCACACCACACGCGTCATCACGTTCAATAGCTGCGCCATCACGTTCAATGGCTGCGACATCACGTTCGGTAGCTAGGCGCGCAATGGTTTTTATTCATGTAACTCTATTGTAAATAAAACATGTAAAATACTGGGAAATTGTTTTAATAAAAAACGTTTTAATAAATAACCAATGGTTTTACTAACCCTGCTCTTGATTTACGCTACGACAGAGCTATTTTTAGATAACATAAGGAAATTGCGCTTAAATGTCACTAGACTTTTTAATTAACTTGTTTTTACACAGCAGCATGTGTTAGCTACTGTATAACATCACTACTGTAGTAGATATGTTTTTTATTTACAAAAGCTTTTACCGTCAAGTAAAAAATGCAAGAAAGTTATTTTTTTTAACTATAAAATATGTATTATGGTCGGCTATGGGCCCCTAAATGACGCGCCCCCCCCCCCCCCCCCCCCCCGCATTGCGGGGTCTGGCGGCACTGTAGTTCCGCCCCTGATCAAGATCACGACCCGCCGTGTCTTAGAAACGAAAAACGACTTTCACAGCCAACAAACATCTAAACAAAGACTGGTGATATTACCAGATATTCTATGCGGCCATTTTATGTTTTAGAGCTATAGGCTTGTTGAGTTCTTTTTGATGTATTGTGATTTCATTCTTTATGCGATTTTTGGTCAGTAATACATTTTTAAATACTTTTATTGTTTTTTTAATGTATATTTAACAGCGCATTTATTTTCCTGTATATAAAACCACTTGTAGGTTTAAAAAATTCTTTATATCACACCACGTGTAAATTATTTTTTTCTATTTTATTTTAATGTACTTTCGTAATAGGATTTTTTTAACAATTGCATAAAAACGTTTAAATAACAAGATTTGTATTTACTAATGCATTTAAAAAGTGAGATAATAAGTGATTTTATTTAAATCTATAATAATACAATACTATTTAAAGAAAAGCGTGGGTATCTATATTATCTATTTAGATACCTTTACTAATATTTAGGAAGAGACGAATCGTTAGTTAGAAGTGCTCTAAACTTCGCTCGTCCGTTTCGATAAAGAAATGTCAGTCAGCCGTGTCGGCAGCTAACTAGGCAAACCGAAAATCAATAGACTATCCAAACTAAAAGCTTGCAAAGGATAAAAGGCATACACTGGCCTAACACTATCTCAAATGATAGAAGATATCCAAAATGGAAGCAATTTTCGAAAAATTCGCTGGATGGGGCACGTCGTAAGAATAAATCCTATTTGTATCGCAAGAATGGTGCTAGGAAAAATAAAGCAGGGAAGGTAAAGGGAGACGTGGAAGCAGCTGGCAGAGGCAGGACTGTTATGGGGGACTGAATGGATAATAACCAGAGAGCTTCAAAAGTGGAGGGAGCTTTCTGTGGCAGAATCAGAAATTTCGGTTCCTGATCATGTTTATAATTGCGACTAATTGCTTCTCGCTTAAAAGGTGTTTTGTAAGTGTAAAATGTTGTTTCTATACGGCCCTAATTTACTAAAGATAAAAAAAACTATTATTATAACTTATTATATCAAGTAAATTTTATTACCACCTGTTACAAGAGATTTATTTAACTTGAAGATAGAAAATAAACTAGCAAAGCAACATATAAAAATAAATATTCTTCTCGGAACGATCTTACAATGGACACAAAAACGAGTAGCCGAAAAGGCATTGTCAAACCTAATTATAACAGGAATCTTAACAAAGCCCTAGAGGGGCAGAAACATTTTGAAATGAAACTACAAATTACACGTAATAAATTGTATATACTACACTTCATAAAATAGACGTAAAACGGCCATCAATTGACAACGATAAGGATAATAAAATATTTCTGTTAAAATACACAAGTGAGAAGCAAGTGGAGAATATAGTAAGATACTTATAAAAAACCACAAACAATGAAAATATCTATAAAAATGGATAAAGTGAATTATATATATATATATATATATATATATATATATATATATATATATATATATATTGATACATTAATAATATATATCTTGCTATGATTATTCTGAATATAACATATTAAGCATTTTTAACGATATAATTTATTTGTCATACAAAAATGAGTTGCAAAAAAAATGAGTGATCGGGAATGTGTGCATCAATTGAGGATGTTGGACAGAAAGGGAATGGTCGTTTCCGGTGTGGTTTGTGACCATTTTCAAACAGGAAAACGTAAATCTAGTATAATGGAAAAAAGTGACTGTCAAAATCATGCTATGCGAAATATATTTCCATTTTTATTCTTGTATCTGTTCTTTAATTGTCTATTTGTCTTTAACATATCCTCTGCTCTATATCTATTTTACCCCATTTTAATCTAAACTTAATATAATGTTCACTTCAACTTTACATCAACTTTAACATCATCTTTACATCAACTTTACATCAATTCCACATCAACTCAACAACATCTTTATATCATATTCATGTCAACTTCACATCAACTGCATATCAACTACTTCCGACCATTTTCGTATCAACTGCACATCAGCATTACATCAACTTGACCTCAACTTGACACAAGAAATCATAAATAATCTCACTACACAACTCATCTGTAAGTCCGAGTGTCTCAAAATTGTAGCGCATACAGTCTTGGTTGCCGTAGTTGTTGGGCTGACCTATAGAGAAAAATATGAGCTTAGAAAGTTAAATGTGTTCAAAACTCTTCAAGTTTAAAGTAAAAAAAACAACGTATCAAAGAAAAATAAACGACATTTACTACACTCAAACATACTCCTAAACATTAACTTACAATCTCATGAAATGTATTCCGTAACAAAACAATGTTGGTGTTTTTAACACTAATCAATAAAGTAAAGCATGCTTAGACAAATGTTTACTTAAAACTGCTACATACGAAATTACGTATTGCTTATGACCAGATCTTACTCTTGAAAAAAAAATCTATTTAAACACAAGGCCTAATCAATGTCAAAACCTATTTTTCAAACATAAAGCACAACTGCAGTGAAACTTGAATCTTATCGTACTATAATTCTAATTAACCCGATGCCCACGTGTCAATTTGTTCGGTCAGACGTGACCGCTTTTGGAATTTTTCGAAAATAGGCCCTACTTATAGAACCTAAGCTAACAAGTTTTTAAATTATAATATACGATTTTTTTTGGGTGATTCTGCAAGTGTTCGTTCTAGTTCAAGCAGTTCAAAAATGATAAGTTTATATAAGACCGCCGTCAATAAGTTTTGTGTTTTTTATGCTAAATGTGAGGGTCATATTTTGTGCAAAGGTTTGAACGAGACCTCTCACATTTTCTCTCAAGTGCCCCATGTAATCCACTTATCATTGACAAGCTAGCATCCAACACCGTTACCTCGCTATTTTTATGAACTCCCTCAATCAACTGTTTCGTTTGTCGTTCAAACTTTAGCCTTAATGTAAAAATTCCTTCTATCAAGCCTTGATCACTAGCCACTAATACACGAATTCTG